TTGGTTCCTCAATTCCCAAAGCATCATCTAACACCTCCTCTGGGCTTGGCATACAGTAGACACCCAATACGAAATGTATGCTGATATTCAAAGTCTGGAATAAAGAACTCCCTCAATTCTAAGAAGCCAGGATCCCAGAGCTCGCTTTCCTAAGAACTGATGCTGTCACCTTAGGCCTTGGAGTCATCACGGGTAAAAGCAAGGACTGGGTGTGTCCACACATGCACATACATGTCCCTCAGCTGCAGCGGGCTCTGTGTGTCTGCTCAGATCTGCACATGCAAGGCAGAAAGGGTGATTACTAAGAGCACACGAAGAGCCGTGGTGGAGCAACGGTTAACACTCAGCAGCTTGGCCCCACCAGTCGCTCTCTCCATAAAAGGAAGATGTGACATGGGCTTCGGTAAAGGGGACCGCCTTGGAAACTCCACAGGGCAGTTCTCCCGTGTCCTGGAGGGTCTCCGTGCATCAGAATCAAGGGACAGCAACCGGTTAGGCAACATGCAATGGTCAACAGCCAGGCATCTTTCTCTTGGCAGAATCTGCCAGAGCCCAAACTGCCGCCGCCTAATACTGCTTCAGTTTCACTCGAAGATTGTTACGTATCTGCTCCTCCCCACATCTGCTGTGGCCAAGAACGGAATCCACGAACAATAAGAGACTGTGTTCTGGAAAGTGTATACCTCCTTGGACTCGGGCTACAATTAGAATTTCAATGGCTCACACCCCTCACCACCATTTCTGGGGTTTGTGGGCACATAATCGGCGTCCGCTGCTGCAAGCAAGTTCTCAGCAGTTTTCTTCTGTCTCAACTGCTACGTGCAGACAGATGCAAGGGTTTAAATCCCGTTTGCAATTTTATCCTTTCTCTGGTACTCAGTTTTCAAACCAGGAGGAAAGACGACGGCCAGGGAGCGTGAAAGACGCAGCCCTCGGTACACATGGTGTCCAAGGCTAACAGATGCCAGCCAAATTTCTGTGCAAATGCACCAACACACGGCTCATCCCTCGGCCCGACAGATGGCTATTTTTTAACTAGCTCCATCTACTTACTCCTGTAAATCCATTTAGTTTCTGCACATTGATTACTAATGAAATTGGTTTTGAAAAAAGAAAAGGCTTGGTCGGCCCTGGGGAATCCCTCAGGAAGACTGGCTCCTGTATATGGAGCAGACCAGGAGTGCTCCTTAGCCTCTGTCTCCCTAATGGGCCTTCCCTGCCCCCCATGCCTGAGCTCCTGCCATCCTGTGTGGCTAAGTGTCCTCCTCTGGTCCTAGGCACAAGACAGGGTTCCTCTTGCACTAGGCTTGGTACAATGGCTGCGAAATGAAAGTACACTAGGTCCTTTTCTATCATCAAATGTCTACTAATTGCCTATTACTAATCTTGGGGAGGGGAGATACAGGAATCATGAGGTCGTGGTTCTGAAGGAGTGCATGCGCAAATGGAAATATAATGGAATTTCCCCACCAACTTTTGGAAGCACCCTGGTATAAGGAGATAAAGGGGGCAGTAGTGGTCCTCAGTGCAATGGAGTCAGTTCCGACTCAGAGCAACCCTGCAGGGCAGAGTGGAAACTGCCCTGGTGAGTTTCTGAGGCTGTGAATCTTTAAGGGAGCCGAAAGCCACATCTTTCTCACACTGAGCGGCTGGTGGTTTCAAACTGCTAACCTCGTGGTTAGCAGGCCAATGTTTAAGCCATTACCCACCAAGGCTCCTTAGTAGGGGTTCCCCCAGGAGAAGCCTGATTTGACTCCCAACTGGTGTACTGCATGTCTCGGTGGAGGCTTGCAGGGTTTTGTGACAGTGAATGCATTTCAGCTTAGCTTAGAAGCTGGCCTGGTGACCTATCTACTGCCACAAACCAGCCAATAAAGACCCTGGTCTGGTCTGAGCCACAGCCAACCGTGTCCTGTCAGCGGTCACGTTCCTCACAGCTTACAATGGGGTGATAAAGTGCCTGAGGAGTTAGTGTTATAAAGGCCTCTGGGACAAGGTGGCATCTTGAGCAGAGAGGAAAATAAGGGCAGTGAGGGCATAGATGCCCTGCTTGCTGTGAAATCTTGGCGGTCAATTGCCTCCCATGAAAAGGAGAGATAAGGCTCTATGTGAGTTAGACGATGGATGAGAAGCCACTTCGGGCACTGGAAGCCACCCTGAAACTCCCAAGTTCCACGCCACAGCCTGGGCTGCATCTCCAAGGCCGTTCCTCCCAGCATCCTCCAAGGGGCCACGCTAGGGCCTCATTAACTCAAGGAAGAGTTCTTTAAGGAAAGACACAAATCAACACCCTTCCTGGCAAAGTGAAGTGTTGAAAGGCATTCTTAAAAATAAGTGGATAAATAAGCCAGCACCCACTCTCTTTGTGGGCATTTTCAGGCTTGCTGATCTGGGGATAGAGAGGCAGGTGGAGAGCAGAGTGGAAGACCCCAAGGGGCCTGGAAGGCTGACAGACCATCCACTTTTGGATTATGAGCCGCCCAAGGGAAAATCCTTTTTATGCACTTGGCCATGTCTCTGACTTGGAGAAAGTACGGCACCTAACTAGCTTAAGTTTGAATGGCATAGGGGGTATGCACTGAGCTGCTCACCACAACGTCAGCAGTTCAAACGGTCCTAGTAAAGATTTAAAGGCTCAGAAACCCAAAGTGGCAGTTCTGCTCTGTCCTATACAGTTGCTATGAGTCAAAATAGACTCTCTGGGCAGTGAGTTTGGTTGAAGCGTAGGTTTGGGGTTCCTGGATGGTACAAATGGTTAATGAGTTGCTTCCTTGAATCTACCCAGAGGCACTTCAGACGAAAGGCCTGGCAAACAACTTCCTAAAAAGCAGCCACCAAACCCCCTAGGAAGCACAGTTCTCCTCTGACACAGATGGGGTCGCCATGAGTTGGAATGGCAACTGGTAGCTTGAGCTGCTAATTGCTTAAGTTCTCCGAGCCTCAGTAACCCCAGGCTACCTGACCCTTAGGCTTCCACTACTCCGTGCAGGTCTTCCTCTAGGCTAGAAACAAATTACAACTTTGGTTTTGCGTTTAGACTATTCTTTCCTCTGTTCAGGAGCCCTGGTGGCATTGTGGTAATGTGCTGGGCTGCTAACTGCAAGGTCAGGAGTTTGAAACCACCAGCCACTGCTCAGGAGAAAGACAGGGCTTTCTGCCCCTGTTGACAGTTACAGTCTTAGAAACCCACAGGGGCAGTTCTACTCTGTCCGACAGGGTCACTGTGAGTCAGAATCCACCGGATGGTAGTGAGTTTGGCTTTTTGTTTGTTTTTTTTTGGTTCCTCAATTCCCAAAGCATCATCTAACACCTCCTCTGGGCTTGGCATACAGTAGACACCCAATACGAAATGTATGCTGATATTCAAAGTCTGGAATAAAGAACTCCCTCAATTCTAAGAAGCCAGGATCCCAGAGCTCGCTTTCCTAAGAACTGATGCTGTCACCTTAGGCCTTGGAGTCATCACGGGTAAAAGCAAGGACTGGGTGTGTCCACACATGCACATACATGTCCCTCAGCTGCAGCGGGCTCTGTGTGTCTGCTCAGATCTGCACATGCAAGGCAGAAAGGGTGATTACTAAGAGCACACGAAGAGCCGTGGTGGAGCAACGGTTAACACTCAGCAGCTTGGCCCCACCAGTCGCTCTCTCCATAAAAGGAAGATGTGACATGGGCTTCGGTAAAGGGGACCGCCTTGGAAACTCCACAGGGCAGTTCTCCCGTGTCCTGGAGGGTCTCCGTGCATCAGAATCAAGGGACAGCAACCGGTTAGGCAACATGCAATGGTCAACAGCCAGGCATCTTTCTCTTGGCAGAATCTGCCAGAGCCCAAACTGCCGCCGCCTAATACTGCTTCAGTTTCACTCGAAGATTGTTACGTATCTGCTCCTCCCCACATCTGCTGTGGCCAAGAACGGAATCCACGAACAATAAGAGACTGTGTTCTGGAAAGTGTATACCTCCTTGGACTCGGGCTACAATTAGAATTTCAATGGCTCACACCCCTCACCACCATTTCTGGGGTTTGTGGGCACATAATCCTCTTTAAATTTGAAACCATATCCCAGTGCAAACCACCTACACCTCACCTTCCTCCAAATACCTGGAAAACTATTCCTGGATATCAGAAATGAAGAGAGATGTGGAATGATTTCTCTGTGTGGAGTGGCTCAGAAATGACCCACCATCCTCTCCGGAGCCAGGTCCCACCCACATGCACACATCCATACAGAACAGGAAGCAAGGAGGGGAAAGGCTTTGTGTGACATGGATCTGGGTTTGAATTTCTACTTTATCACTACTTCCTGAGCCCCTATCCTGGGGCCACGGAGTCCCTGGATCCTGTAATCCGCTAACTCGATTGCTGCTAAGTGAGAAAGTGGCAGTTCAAGTCTGCCCAGAAGCACCTAGGAAGAAAGGCCTGGTGATCTACTTCTGAAAAGGGCATCCCCCTGAAAGTCCTCCAAAGATAGTCCTGCTCAGACACACACAGGGTCACCAGGAGGCAGAACAAACTGGAGAGCAACCGGCCCATCTCAGGCCAGAGATGGCACTGGTGGGTAGTGTCTTAATGCACTCAGGCACACTCCAACACAGGTACGCTACAGGGGAGCAGGCACAGGGACGGATGACGATGGGAGGTCCCATCCCTGGGTCTGGCAGACCCGAAGGCCAGTGTGGTTTCCACTGCTGAAAAAAAACCTGCTCTCTTGGCGGTACCTCATCTAGGGGACCCTGTTAGGCCCAGTGTGATTCCAGACCCAGGCAACCAAGAACGTATCGTACGCGTTTTGTTCACCTGATAATGTAGGAGTTTCTTTTCTTCCATCTGAAGCAAGTAGCGGAGGAAAAGGGGCAGGGGCAGAGTGGGGTGTGTCTGACCTCCCGTGTTTTACTGCTGGGCTCACGTTGCCGTGTCGACATCACCATGAAAGAGGGGGTTGGGTTGGGTTTTGCTTCTCCATGTTCCTTGGATGAGAGCTTCACAAGCGCACTCGTGCAATTTCACGTGAGATACAATGCCTGCTACGACGCCCAAATGGACGGGATGACATACTCCAAGGACACCCGCTGGAGGAATCCCCGTGAGCAGCGAGGACAAGGCTGGTTTGGAGACCAAACCCACTCTTGACGCATCCTCCCCTGATCCCCGGCCACTCCTTCTGACAGACGGCAGAGGACGGACAGTCAGGTAGTGTAACTATCCACCAATGGGGCCGCGGAGAACATTCCTGTGCTGACCAGTCACTGTTAAAAGTCATTGGTGTTGGTCATGTGTCACGCACACTTCTGAGTCACACAGCACACAGCCACCACATAAAACGGGCAGGGTCACTAACCCCCACTACCTGGGCGGATCCCCAAGGCTGGAGGTCACCCTGCCCAGCGGCGGAGCAAAGCAAGGAGGTGCCGGGGTGGTTTTCCACCCAGCACTACATGCTCCTCAAAGGTGCAGGGGTCCAGAGCCCCAGGATCATTCTCTGGGAGCCATTTATGTTATCCTTTTTTCCTTCTGGGGAACTTGGATAAGCCCAGCCCAGATGCAAGCTTAACTGGTCTGGGGAACACTCCTTTTCCTTAGTCACAAGGCTGGAATTCACCTGCACATTGAGGTCAGCCCTCTAGCCTCTCTCCTTTAGGACCCTGGGGGCCAATGGGGGAGTGGGTGGGGGGGCAGAGGGAACCTTCGCCCACCTACTCATGAATGCATGCAGAGAGGAAGTTCTCTGGCATCAAATACCTCTTGGAGGCAGGGCTGGGCTCACAGGACCCCAGGAGTTCCCTGGGGGTCTGGGCTAAATCATACCTATCTCTGTGTTATCTCAGGGACTCGAGGATGGACCAGAGGGTCCTGGGGCCCCAAGCTTGGTATTTTACAAGCCAGAGCTTCTGCAATCCTGGGAGGCAGTATGTTTTCGGCTGGAGAAGCTCAGTAACACAGCGTTACTTGAGGTCAAGAGATAGTAGTAGTAAATGGGGAACTGGAATGTGCTGTTGGCTGAATCTCACCCTTTTGGGCTTTTGCTTCTCCGTGGAAAGCACTGCCTGACACAAGCCCCACTGGCCCCGATCACTGTGCTTGGAATGGAACTGGCGACCATTTACCAGCCACTTCATTTCTAATACATAGGGAACAGCCGCCACTGGAGAGAGATCACGGTGTTATATGGAATTCCTAAAACTTGCCAGCTCTAGGAGCGGGGGATTTTAAATCTTGATTTGTTTCTGGAAAAAGAGAGAGAAAGAGACCTGAAAAACTCTCAGCTTTCTCGTTTTCTCTGGTGAATCTATTTGGATGTGAATTTATGTGATCAAGGTTGAGTCCTTCTGCTTCCACGCATCTCAGGGGCAGAGCAAACCTCTCTGGCCTGCCTTCAATATCCAACAGCTTGTATTTCTTGGCTGGATTGTGAACTTAAGAGCGGGGAGCTTTCCTCGTCAATGTTACAGCACAGAATCCTAGGCATTTAAGAGATACTTGTTGGAGGGAGAGGAGGGAGGGACAGACACGGGGGAAGGGAAAAGACTGAACAAATCACTGTTTCCAGGGGAGGGATGTGACAGGGATTGGGAAAGGAGTCCAGAGAACAGAGCCCTGGCCCTCTGAGTCACTTCCATGATCTCATATCATCACAAACTATCAGACAGAAGTTCCAGGATAATATGGATTCTAATCCTTTCATTCCTCAAATGAAGAAATTGATTCCTGAGAGCTCAAGTGACTTGCAGATTGGTGGGGAAGCAGAGCTTAGAAGCCAGCCAGTCTCCTAGTGCCCAAAGATTTCTCCACTCCTCCATCTGTCCCAATTATGTTTCAAAGATCAGATTCAAGACCTTGTCCTTCGAAAAATATCTGCAACGCCCACCTGGAAGCAAATTATGTTGATGTTTGCATGATATTATCTAGGAATGCCTACAGGCACTTGTCATATACTTAAAAAATGACGTTAAAAGTATAAAACGTGGCACACAATTATCAGTCCCCCTAATTTTCAGCAAAAAGACCACCTCAAAGCGCTCATCTCTCATCACACACACACACACACACACACACACACACAGAGCTCTTATTTTCGTTCCTATTCTCTAAAGCCAACAAACTAAACTGGGGCACTTGAAGGCAGCCAGTACCCTGGATGGTAAAACAAGAGCTCCGCATTTTATCCCCGGCCTGCCTTATGACCTCGTTTATAAAAGGTGAGAAGTTGACAGAGAGAATGAATGTTTTGTGACTTGTATGCTGGACCGCTTGTCATATTCTTGTAAGCAACCCACACCGACCCTGGAGCACATGCCGAGTCCAGCCTGGATCTCTCTCTTTGCCAGGTCTCCTGTGATGCCAGGATTGATTTAGGCCTCCCCCACCCCTTGGTCACTATCAGAAATGGGGCTACTATACCCTTCGTCCATCAGTACAGAACTACTAGGTTGGAACCACTCCAATCTGGCCTGTTCCATAAGCAGTAAATACTTGGCTCTGCAGCTAATGGTTAAGAGTGGGCAATCTGGCTTCAGATTACCTTGGTTCAAATCCTACCTCTGCCCATTTAAGATATTTGTTCCCTTAGGCAAGTAACCTAAGTAGAGTCTTCATTTAAATTGATGATAGTGATAAGACATCTCTCACGAGGTGTTGTAACATTTACACAGGATGATCCTCAGGATACTTAATACAATGTCTGACATATAATAAATGGTGATAATTGTTAGCTACTCTGGCATAGCTGAATTACTTGGTCTGACTCTTCTATCCATAGTCTTTGTGACTCCCAGGAGAAAAGGCAGAAGCTTTCCTAGCCCACAGAAAGAGTGAAGCTGAGTGCCTTCAGGCAGGACACTGGTTTGCACAGTGAAGTGTCTTTATCAGAACTAAAGGAGTTTGGAAAACTTGCCTGCATAGGGCAGAGACCATGGGAAATGTATGGCAGAAGTGAAGAACCGCAGAGAGACACTCATCTAGTTGTGGTTGAGCACAGGTATTGTGGACAAAAGAACTGTATCCCTAACATTTCTGATCCTGACTTGTGATCCATTAGCTTCCCTCATAAAGTCCATGATCGTGAGTATTGGCTGTGGGTTCTGTGTGGTCCTTACAAGTATTATCAGCCTTAGCAGGGAGGCAGAGCGGAAGGGACTGATGGTGTCAGCATGGGGTAAAGAATATTGGAGGTGGAGGCATGTCTGACCTCGGCTTCATAGGAATCATTCTTAGACTGATTGGCCTCCTTGTCCTTCTTACAGTTACTGATATCAGTAAAAGGCAGTGGCCCCACACCGTAGCGGTGTGCAAGTGGCCCAGGCGGGTGGCCAAGTTTTCCAGGAAATAACTCCACACAGAGGTCCAGTGATAGGCAAAGGTCAGATGATGAGAGTCCCAGCACCAGCAGTGGGAGTTCGGATTCAGACCAGCGAGACCCAGCTGCTCCAGAGCCTGAAAAACAAGAAGGAAAACCTTCTTCCGCCCAGCAGAAGAAAGACACCAGCTCTCTAGCAAAACCACTGCTAAGTCATCCGGTAAGTGCTATAAGAATGCAGAAGGCGCAAGCTGAAATACCTCTGGATCCTTCTCCTAACTGCAGTACTGGGCCTAAAGGAGATAACATTTAAGAACGGACGTCAACTATACTTGGTCCACCAGGTGTGTTTTTTCTGGATGTCATATTTTCATCAGATTATCCGTTTAAGCCACCAAAAGTTACTTTCCGCACCAGAATCTATCACTGCAACATCAGTAGTCAGGGAGTCATCTGTTTGCACATCCTTAAAGATAACTGGAGTCCTGCTTTGACTGTTTCAAAGGTTGTGCTGTCTATTTGTTCCCTTTTGACAGACCGAAACCTGTGGATCCTCTGGTTGGAGGCATAGCCACTCAATATTTGACCAACAGAGCAGAACATGACAGGACAGCCAGACAGTGGACCAAGAGACACGCAACACAATTCACATAATTTGTATGCAGTGTGAAGGAGAAGGCATCTGTAGTCTGTGCTGCAAATCTGTATAGCCTTTCCAATACGGACTTCTGTGTATATTTCGTACTGATTCTACTCTCTGCTCTTATCATTCGGAGACTGGGAGACTCCCTAACAAGGTAAATGCTATCAAGAGTAGAACTTTGTAGCTACAGATTAGTTATCTTTAAACCGCCTACTTGCAAGTCTTGCTTCTTTGGGATATCAAAATGTATTTTGTGATGTATTAAGGATACTGGTTCTGAAGTCTACCACATATTGTAGTGCATTTTAGCCCAATTCATTATCTGTATGAAGTTATAAAAGTAGCTGTAGATGGTTAGGAATTATGTCATTTGTATTAAACCCAGATCTAGTTCTGAGTATGTGTACATGCTGTTGTGAAAATATTTTACCTTTACCTTTGTCAGTTTGTAATGAGAGGATTTCCTTTTACCCTTTGTAGCTCAGAGAGCACCTGATGTATCATCTCAAGCACAACATGTTCCTGAGAAAAAAAAAGGCAGTGGCCAGGTTCCAACAGAGCTTCCAGACTAAGGTAGGCTAGGACGAAAGGCCTGAAGATCTACTGCCAAAACAAGAGCCCATGTAAAGCTGATGAATTCCTAGGGCTGATCTGCTCAGAATACCATCACCTAATTCCATCCTTTGTGTTCTAACAGGGTACCACCCTAGACATGAGGAACCAGAGACAGAAGACACAGTCTCCACCCCGAAGGACTCCACAGCTAGGCAGCGATTACACACTTTCAGCACAATGGATGAGCTGCCCGAAGAATTCACATTGAAAAATTAAAAGTAACTACATTTCCAAGATGCCACCCAGAGAGGCAAAGTCTAAGGCACAGGGTTCTTTGATATTTTGTTGTCCCTCTGATTTGCCCAAAGCCCCACTCCATCTATTTTTCTGAGCCCCTTCAAAGCTGTAGATCACCTGAAAGACCACACTCAAGAAGAACATTTGGATAAATGGCAGCTCTTTGTGAGTTCAGGCGCCTTTGTGGCCCAGTGGGTAAGCACCAGCTGTTGACGGAACCCACCATTCAGGAAGAAAGATGCAGCGGTGGGCTTCTGTGAAGGTAACAACCTGGCGCACTCTACGGGCCAGTTCCACCCTGTCCTGAAGAGGCGCTGCAAGTGGGAATCCACCCAGCGGCAGTGCGTGTGGGTTTGGGTTTTGTGCTGTCAATCCTGAGAAGTGTGTACAGGACGTCAGCCAGATCCCCTCCCTTTCCTGGGTCAAACCCTCTCACCTCCCTCGGCCTCAGGCACCAGGTGAGGTTGTTGAAAAGGCAAGTGTTTGGTCACTTGTCTACTTATCACAATAGAGAAAAGAAATGGTGGGACCCCCAAGAGGACGGCCCTTCCCCATTCAGGTCTGGAATTAAATTTATCCCCACTTTCTAATCATCAGCCATTTGAGATCAAAGGGACAATATTTAGCCAAGGGAGAAGTTCAGAGGGCTGGAAACAGGGAGTTAGCTAGATAAACAACGGTACATGGAGACTCATAGCGACCTTATAGGGCAGAGTAGAACTGCCCCTGTGGGTTTTTGAGAGTGTAATTCTCAGAGTAGAAACCTTCATCTTATTCTGAAGAGCAGCTGGTGGTTTTGAACTGCTGACTTTGTAGGAAAGCAGCCC